TGGGACGTATTCTTAGATAATTTTTAAAGAGACTTAAGCAAAAAAAAAAAAAAAAAAAAAATCGATTGGTTGAACCGTCTAAAGCAGGCTACCCCATTAATAAAGATTTCGTATCAGAATTTATTAATCTTATAAAAAATTAATTATGAATTTGGCAAACGAAAAGTGATAAATATAAAAATAAAATTGAGAAAAATAAAAGTTGGAATAACTTACTAACGAAATACGAAGAAATAGATAAAATACATACATTAGAAATAAATTCCAAGAAATGTGCCGCTTTCCGCCTGTGGCACATGTTTACTGTGTGAAGAACGAACGCAAAATGGATTTGTGTGTCGTGTATGGGCGAAAAGAATTCACACAAATCCAACGCACATGAGTGGCGTTTATGGGCCCTATAAGCAAGTTAACGTCTTTGCTACTCTCATAGCAATATCACAAGAGTTTCAAAGTCTGCGATCAACTCTTATTTGTTGCTGTAACAAAAACTTGGCAATTAACCGGAAGTTTCAGAAGCTCAATGGCACGAACAAATTGCAACTATAAATCAAATAAACAGCGGACAACAAGCAGTTATGACGCAATAATAATGAACTCGAGCACAGTGTGCTCAAATCTCGAACGAATTCCGAACTGTAGTTCGTATTATATCCTTTCGGATACTTTTTGCAAGTAGCAGTAAAGGACTCTATGAGGCCCTTTCGAGACACCACTTACGCGGTTAGAGTAGAGTTGCCAATAGCGCGCTTGATAGTGGCTGCATTGGCTAGGTGAAGCTGCCCGATGGAATAGAACACTCCAGTTTTGAAGTATTTCGTTTCAGTACTCGCCGGTGAAAGTAGAGGACTCGAAATAATAGTACGGAATCTTGGCGCATCACATTTTACTGGCAGATTATAAATTGTAAACGTATGAAATGGGGCTTGTTGCGAGAACTGAAACCCCTCGACTTTCCCAAGCGACATCGCTTCACTCTTTGGGCTCTTGAAAAGTTCCAAGAAGATCCGATGCTTTCGAGCCAAATTTTTTTCATCGATGAGGCCTCTTTCTGGCTCAATGTGTATATAAAAATGCAAAATTGCTGCATTTAGAAGATCAACATGAAGAGATTGGAGACCAGTAATGTTATCAAAAAAAAAAAAAAAAAGAAGCCGTTTAGTGTGGTTTGTGGGTCGGTGGATTACTCAATATGTCTTCAAAAATGATGCCGGTCAGAACGTAACCGTCAATGGCTACCGTTATCGCGACATGATAACCGACTTTTTGATGTCTGAGATTGAAGCTCGTGAGCTCGACGACATTTGCTTTCAACAAGACTGCGCCATTTCCCACACATCGCATCAATCTATGAATTTATTGAAAGCACACTTCCGTGAGTAGCTAATTTCCCATTTCGTGCAGGTCAATTGACCATTAAGATCGTATGATATCGGACTGTTTGACTTTTTCCTGCGGAGATATGTAAAGTTTTAAGTCTACAATCCCGCTTCGATTCGTGTCTTTCGTCAGTTGCCAATCGAAATGCTTGCACCACGAGTCAACGAAAATTGGACTTAACGGATGGACCAAGATTTGAAAAATATAATCTTCAAAAATAAATGCCATAGAATATATTTGCAAATGATAATACAAAATTTCCATAAAATTTGAAGTTTCTGTGGTTATTCTTTAAAAAATTAGGAAAGCTCGAAATGGATCACCCCCTATACGTAAATATATTTTATAGCGTCTACTCCAATGCTTTCTTACGGGTGTTACAAACTACGTGTCAAACTTATCATATTATTGATCAGGGTATAAAAGATGTATATCGTCACCTAAAATGCATAATAACGTATCATCAAAAAAACGAAATTGAGTATCCCATTGATTACATACTTACAATTACATATGTTCAACATTTTTAGGTTCTGCGGTCAGATATAAACCAGTTTTAACCAATATTAAAATTTAGTTTCACTCATGTTCCATTTTATTTCGTGTTTCATTCATGCCACTGTAAATTTCCTAAAATGTTGTTACGTTATTTTGCACTTCAAGTGACGATATACATATACTTCCAACCGAATATTCGTATCGTATTTCGTGTGTGTGTTGCAGCTGGTCCGCCCTGTCTCTTAACTGGTGGTGGTGTTGTTGTTAATATGATAATGAAGTGTGAACGGTGAACAAAATTGTGGCTTTTGGAAGCTTTATTTAATGCTTAATTGCTGAGTTTCTTTATTTGCTGTAAAACATATCGTGACCTAAATAGTTTAATAGTTTCGGCTCGTTTTAGAGAGAAATTCAAAGTGACTTTTCCTTGGTAAGTACTATAAATATAGGTTGCACTACACGGAATGTGCTAGGTATTGGCTTACAACTGAGTGCGAGTGTCAAAGGTGACTCGTACGAGCCGAAACGATGAGGCAGCATATTGTTAAAATACCGTTCCGTGGCACGCACTATAAACCGCCGTGCAATTTGCTTTAAGAAGAACAGAAAGATAGGAAACTGAAATACGAGACTCTGTTACGATTTCCAATTCAACTGCATTTTTCTTGAAGTTTTCAAAAAATAAAAATAAAACAAAAATCGTTATCACGGTAATCAAACAAGAAAACACGGTAACTTCGGCTTGGGAAGCTATAATGCCTTTCACAGCTGTGTCTAATTTTAATCGGTCAGTTTCCATGCAAGATATACTATGCCATAGTGCTCCGATTTAAACAATTTATTCTAAGATTGTACCGTTACTTTAGACAATTATTTGTGCCAAATTTCATGAAGATAACGAGTCAAATAAAAAAATTTCTATTAAAAGTTCAGTTGGTATGGCAGCTGTGTGATATAGTGATGCGATCTGAAAAATATTTCTACGGAGATTGCACCATTACATCAGGTAATGATCTATGCCGAATTTCTTGAAAGTATCTCGTCGAATCAAAAAGATTTCCATACAAACACTTTATTCTGGTACCACGCTGCTTTTTGAAGAGAAAACAGAATTTCAGCTCAGTAGACGCTGATGATTTTGGTATCCTGTTGATTCCGATCTCTCTTCCAGTTAAAATTTTTGAGGGTCGACAGCTTTATTATGATCCCCGACGATGAAATATTTCCATCTTGTTTTTGTTTACGAAAATTTTGAGGTAAGCATTAGTAGTTTTTACCAATGTAAAAGAGTCAAAGGACACATAGTGTTGGAGGAGCTTTGAATAGATTTACAAATTTAGTAGAACTGATCAAAATTGAGCTCAACTGAGTCCTGAAATGCAATAATATCTAAAACTAAATACAGTTTTCGCATCAAAATATGTTATTTTTGTTCTGTTTGTAGACTTTTGTCTTTTGTTAACGCAATTTTGTAGTTTTTTTCCAAAAGCTCCGTCAGGATCGGGAAGGACCTCTCCAAGTCGTTCGATATCAAACAAGATTTCAGGAGGAAATTATTCGAGTTCCAAAGCTGAGCTAATAGACCAGGTAGACTCTTATATGTATATGAGTGTACAGTTGCTGGCATACGTGAATGATATTGACATCATTGACCTCAACATACTCGTAGCTAGTACTGCTTTATCCAACATGGATAAGGAAGCGAAGCAAATGGGTGTGGTAGTGAACGAGGACAAGACGAAATATCTCCTGTCATCAAACAAACAGTCGTCGCACTCGCGACCTGACTCTCACGTCAATGTTGAAAGTCTTAACTTTGAAGTCGTATTTAATTTCGTCTATCTTGGAGCAAGTATTAACACCAACAACAGCATCACTCTCTAAATCCAGTGCAGAATAACTCTTGCCAACAGATGCTACTTCGGACTCGACGAACGCAGACCAAACTCTATAAGTCACTCATTATTCCCGACCTGCTATGTGGTGCAGAGGCATGGATTATGGCAACACCTGATGAGTCGACGTTATGAGTTTTCGAGAGAAAGGTTCTGAGGAAGATTTATGGTCCCTTGCGCATTGGCAACGGCGAATATCGCATTCCATGGAATTATGAGTTGTATGTGTTATACGGCGACAGCGACTTCGCTGGCTATGTCATGTCGTCCGAATGGATGAAAACACTCCAGCTCTGGAAGAATTTCGTAGTTCCGCTGGGTGAAGCAGAGGAAGAGGAAGACCTCCACATCGTTGGAAAGACCAGCTGGTAGAGGACCTGGAATCTCCAATTAACGCCTAGTGCGTCAGCTATAACTGCGTAAGCGGTGTCCACGTCAATAAAAAAGAAGAAGAAAAACAAAAAAGAGAAAAATGTATTTTCGACAGATAAAGTTTTAAGTGTCTCTATAGCTGACCACGAGCACGCGACTTTGCCAGTCTCTATCCAAAAGGCTATTATTCAGATCAAACTGAGTATCTGGGATAACATTCTAGAGATGTTACAGAATTAAATAAGAAAACTAGACAATTTTTTGGAGCTGTGCATCCACTTAAGAGAGCGCCATATTGATAAAGAGAACTATTTGAATCTGCAAGCAGGTCTAAAATATAACCAAAACTACAAAAAAATAATAACTTAATTAGTAATTATATAATTTACATAGATATGTAAGTTAATAAATCAAACAAAAAATAAATTTGGCCATTCTAAGAATCCGATAAAGCACTTAGAATTCAATAATAATAATAATTTATTCGCGGAAATGCCACAGTCATTGCTTAATCCAGAAATTTCAAAGCAAGTAAACACATTTGTTGACGAATCAAAAGCCGAAACGTATGTATATACATATGTACAATATGTAGTATGTATGTATATATGTATGTACTTATACATACACACAGCCAAGCATAAGAATATACATATGTACATGCAAATATGTATATGTATATGCTTACATGTGTGTAAAGAAATGTTTGTGAACTACCGAACAGCGCCAATAACACAACGCAGCAATGAGTCATTGATCACACAGTTGTAAGCGCCGGATACGGAAGTGGAAAAATATTACTGCATTGCATACATAGAAGTTGTATTGCGAGGTTTCAAGAAGTTGCGTCATTACCTTTCTTTTTGCACCGGTAAAATCCACCTTGAAGTTATTGCTACGAGTATTTTGAAGTCTATTTCCGATAATTTATATTCAATTATGATTTTTTCCACTTGTAGCTTTGTCAGCCCACTTAAATTACGCAATCTTTTCCGAGAATTTCGCGTCTTTGTCGTTGAGTAGCAACAAATTTATGGCGATTTACACTGAAACGAATTCACAAATATACATATGTGCGTACATATGTACATATACGCGTGTTTATAAAATTGCGCTTCAATAACAGAAAATAATAAAAATTCACAGCTATTTGCATTACTTGCAAGATTATAGCGCCGAATCAACACAAACATACAAACAACTATACTACATGCTTCTGTGACATGTGAGTCTGGAATACATGAATTCACATACACGTGCAAAGTGAGGGGCGACGAGTGAAAACAATTTTCGCCTAATATTAAGCACTTTGTTGATGCAATAATTTTCACGCGCGTAAATTTTCCACGGATATACGCGCACACTCACAGACACACACGCACATGCTTCAAACGGCGCATACACAAATTGAAAGGCTGTGCCACAGATAGAGATGCTGCTGATTATCATATGATTGATATGCTGTTAGCATATGCAGATCGAACTGCTCATCTGACGCTGGAGGCTAAGCGGCTGCGAGCACAGATGCTTTTTTCGAGCGGTCACACGTTAGCGCGATCACAACTTCCGGTCGCGGAGCGCTACCCGCTGCATAGGGAACAGCCTTGATCGCATCAATTGATTGAAAAAAAAAAAAATTACAAATTCGTATAAAGCACTTTCTGAGATTTATAACAACACTAAGCGTTGATTTGTGGATTTTTAAATAGATTTTCGATTTGCTACAGCTAGCAATGCTTTGCGCTTGTGGTGTAATTACAAGCTGGTATTTCACTAATTCTCTTACATTCTTCACACACACGCATACACACTCGCGCACACGCACAAAAGCATGGCGCTGCGTTAAACGCCGTAAATACCAAAATTCCGCCAAAACGCGTTTTATGAGTTACAGCTACACAGACCGTCTGGGTGTGTGTGTATATTAAGGCGGCTTGCTGTTGTTGTTGTCTATTTACGACGTGTGACTCTTCGTTGCGATTTGTTTGTTTTTAATCGTATTATGATAATTTTTATTTTGTCTTTCACTTAGTTTCACTGTTGCTTTTTGTTTTTTTTTTTTTTTAATTTATTTATTTTTTTAATTTCAAATTGGCTCTCTTCAATTATATAGAAATACGAATTGTTAAGCACGCATAACCGAACCGACGTTGAAATACGTATGTATGCGAATTCCGAACACTAAAATGCGGCTTTGCGAAGAATTTTTCGTTTGCATTATAATAATATTATGCGCAGGTTGCCTTTGAATTACACTCGTAAACGCCAGAATCGTTTGGAAAAAAACACACTAAACAAAAGAAAGACGAAGCTTATGCGAAAACGGTGGGTTTACCCAAAAACCGACTGCACAAGCAAAAGCGCTGCTATAAACAAAACATGCGGCTTTCCGACCACCGATCGCATGCTCCGATCAACGACTGAGTAAATGTTGTGCCGAAACAATGCGTAGTGGTGCAGCCGACCGACCGACCTACCGTACCTACATACACACATATCTACATATATTCGAACATACTTGGTGCTTGAGCAGCGAGCGAATGATCAGCGGCGCGGATATGAATATAATGAGAGAATACAATGTAGTAGTTGCCTTAATCAAAACGTGAGCGCGCGGGGTAGTAACGCGCATGCAAACGCTACATACTTCATATCATAGGAAACTATTAAAAACACACCATCGCCGCCAGCGACATTCAAGTCGTCATCAAAACTACAACGGCGCTCGTAATGGTATCCAACAACATATGTACATATATATGTAGTTGCATATGTGCGTAAATAGCTGAGCGCCACACGTAAGAGAGCGTCGTGAGCGCATGATTGAACAACCAACCAACTGAACAGACAGACGATTCGAAGTCGCGCCGAACGTTAGACAATGCGCAATGCCGCACCGACGCGCGCTGTTCGTGACGCGTTGGAGAGCGCAAACGTTCAGATGCGCGCATGAATCGCAACGCTGTGACCGTTTTTTAAATCATGAATGAAAAACATTTCCAGCAATCAGCGGTTTGAAACAATCACAATAATATTAATACATATGCATACTATACTAAGGCAAAGGCACATATTATGAAAAAATAAAATGAAGCAATAAAAATAAGTGAAAAGGTTAGCACAGCTACACACACTCCGCCAACTATGTAGCCATATAAGCATATAAACAAATCTTGATATGAGCCTAATCATGGGTACAACTAAGTAATATTCGATGGTATTGGGCATGTGTGCTGGGTTGATGATCAGCGCTGCTGGCGCCTGAATGGCAGAGAGCGTTATGCACGCAATCAGCGAGTGTTGAGAGTATGATAAACACTTTCGTTGGCAGAGAGCGCTGAGAAAGCTGAGAGTGATCAGTAGGTAACAGATTTCGATGTTGAGTATGCACGTGTGCTGTTTAGTCCTTTTTCGAAGTTCATTATCCTTTGGTTCTTTTCACCTTTTTTTTGTAGTTGCTAATCTGAAACATTCTATAGAATTTGTATGCTTGCATGCACCTGGCTTTTACGTGTAAACAGTCGTACTCGCATACTTTCTTAGACAAGGTTGCATTTCCAGGCATTCTTGCTTTCTACACTTTTATCGTTTTTCTCTTATTGTTATTCTTAGGCAGAAGGGTTCAAACCAAGGCATGTATGTACATATTTTGAACTGATACAATCAATTGATTGAAAACCTAAGAAGGTCTGTTATACCCATCACAGGTGGATTTCTTTTAGCAACTATAGATATGTACGTATTACTAAATCTAAAAGCGTATTAGAACAGTAATAATAATTCTTTTCAATTTCGAAAAGATATCTTGTAAAATAAAAATAAAAAAAACTTTAAAAAGAACTTGATTTTGATCAATCAGTTTGTATGACAACTGTGCCGAGAAATAAGTAGCAGCTTCTTGGGAAGAAAGAGACTTTCGAAAAATTTCTGATAGATATCTCAAAAACTGAGCAACTGGATGGCGCGTATATGCAGATTGATCATTTTAGAGTATAAAAATCAATTATTGAAAATAGAAGGCTGATCTACGACACCAACAAAAGCAACAAGAACTACCCTATTTCAAGTGTAGTACCACAAGTTTCAGTATCTTTTATGAAATCTCTTGTGTGATTACCTCCAAAATAAAAGTAATGATGCGCCAATGGCTTTCTTCCATGAGTATGCTAACTGGCTGAGCAGAAAACAGAAGTATTGCTCATAAGCTTCAAGAAAATTGAGGAAAAAGTAACTCTCAGTATAGGAAAGTGTGCGATTACTTCACACTCATACTTGAAGAATTTAGGGGTAAGGACTCCAAACTGAAATTCAAGGAGTACTTGGCATACACCCCAAATAAAGCTAAAAAGATTTATAGTGCTTTATCAAGAATGATGACAAATAGAGTTTGTGTGCCCTCTAGCCGTCGACTGTTAATCGCAAAAGCGATGAGCTCACTAATACCACTTACATATGTATGTATATGCTGATCCAGTATGGATACTGGCACAAGATATAGCGGTGTATACAAGAGCAATAAATGCGGCCCATAGCCTCACAGAAATGAGAGTAACATGTGCTTTACGAACTACTTTATATCTAGCGAAGCAGCTGCAGTACTAGCTAGTATGCCGCCAATAGACATGCAGGGAGATGAATTCACGAGATTATTTGAGTTATCAGGGCCTATAACAGAAATCAAAAAAAGAGAGGAGAGAGAGAGCATACTTATATGGTGGACCCACAGACTTATACCTCAGATCCATGCGTGTCTAACTAGACAACATGGGGACCTGAATTTCCAACTGATCCAAATATTAGGTTGTCAAAAAAGTCTTGCGGTATTTTTGCTAGTTGGCGCTGAGAGCGCGTAGTTCTAGTTTTATTCGTCGCATCGGGTCATGCTATAAATTTTTGCTCATTTCATGCGCTAACACGTGTTTGATTGATTGTCGTTCGTGAGTTATAGCGTCGCAAACATGGAGTAAAATAAAGAGAAAATACGGCATAATTTATAGTACTACTACGATAAAGGCAAAAATGCATCTTAAGGTGCCAATAAAATTTGTGCAGTTTATGGATCCGATACAGTTTCCATTTCCACCGCACAACGATGGTTTCAACGTTTTCGTGCTGGTTTAGAGGTGGTCGAAGATGCGCCATGCTCCGGAAGGCCTGTCGTCGATATTGCGATAAAATCGCTGAATTGGTTGAAATAGACCGGTATAGTAACAGCCGTAGCATCGGTCAAGAGCTGGGCATGAGTCATCAAACCGTTATAAAATAAAAAAAAATAATATAAAAAATGCAGCAAGCCTTTTTTGACAGCCAATTATAACATTAAGTAGGCATGGGTGCTTCAAAAGTTACCTGTAGAAGACTCTGAACACGTGTTTTGCCATAGACCTCGGTTTTAAAAGATAAGGGAAAACTTTGAAACTGCACTAGGTGGTAATTTAACGGTGGAAAATTTGATTGCATTGATGTGTCAGCCCTCTGATAAGTAAAAAGCTGTTCGCTAAGCGGGAACTCCATCATGAATAAATTTAAACAGTTACAGTAGAACAGGTGTTAGTCCGTCCGTGCTGTAAAGTAGACATAAAATCTTTTGACACTCTCACGAAATAATACCTTATCTGATAGTTCCGTGGGAGAGTCTTGAGTTGAGAGTAGGTTAGGTTTAGCGGATTAAATTTCCGTATTCCGGCCTTCGATGCTCTCTCCTAATAAAAAAAACGTATAAAATCCCACTAAAACACGGAATCAAAATCAAGTCACTCGGTAGGAATATTGTATGTTTGTTCAGTTTGTATGGCAACTAAATGCAAGGGTGGTCCGATATCGGCCGTTCCAACGAATGAACAGCTGCTAAGTGAGAAATACACATGTGTAAAATTTCTGAACGATATCTCAAAAGTGGAGATATTAGTTCGCATATATACCGACGGAGAGAGGGACATTGCTAAATAGACTCAGCTCGTGACGCTGATCGTTCATATACATACATATATACTTTATAGGGTGTCTGATATTTCCTTTTGAACGTTACAAACATAGTGATAAATAATAAATAGCACATACAGACATTTCAATTATATGTCTACGTCCACGTGTACGTAGGCAAGCGTATATGTGTGGCTATTTCGAGGCGAATGCCAATTGCTGCTGTTGATACACAGCCTGTAGTTGTCGTCACTTTTGGTGTTTGTGATAGGCCGATGATTCCATTGCCGTTATTATTGTTTACGATGACGGTGCAACAAATACTATGGCTACACACACATACATATATGCATACACTTGCAGTTTGACTTGAGTGTGGGTGCCAGCCGACGATTAAGTTGTTTACGATTTTTACGCTGCAATGGAGTGAGCGACTTGGGTGGGGAAAGACCGGTCGTTGGTGATGATGCAGTTCGGCCTACGTTATTGCAAAAATCGTTGTTGTGTTTGTTGTTGGTGCGTTGCCACTCATTGGCGGCACGCTCGCACCCCTGCATATTTGCATTGTTTCATCGGCGGGGGAGGTTTATTTGCATTTGCTTGTGCAGTTCATTTCGTGCATGACGACTACGATTTCATACTAAATTATTGCATTGCTGGCGGTTGATATTTTGGCGCGAGAATGACGTCCAGAGGCTAAGTTTGCATCGATGACGCTAATTGTTTTCCAGCAAAAATCGAAAAATAGCCATGAATACAATTCGTTTGCTTACTTTGTACAAAATAACACACAATACGTTATAGCTAGGGGATTTTCGTTTGTTAAAAGCTCACACTTTGTTGCTTGTGCGCGGCTAAAAACAATGCCTCATTTCTATATTCGCCAGACTTGGCGCTTGGTGTGACTTTTTTCTATTTCCAAGTAAACTTAATGTTTAAAACAAAAAAAACATCGCTGAAAGAGCTAAAGGCTATGCCAAAAATCGGGTTAGAAAAGTGTTTCGACAATTGAAAGAAGCGCCGGCATAAGTGTATAATATCGAAAGGGTACTACTTTAAAGGCGACTACATTAATGTAGACGAATGCATAAATAATCAAAAAGCGAAAATTT